TCCCATTCGACGTGAATCTGGTACACGGCTGAGTTTAAAGTGTAAATTCTACGTCATAGCTTTATTAAAAAATGTTTATTTCCCTTGGCTCTTCCTTGTTGAGATAGTCCAAGCATCAAGGATTGGTTTTTATAGGCCATCTTTCAGTGCAATGGGAAGGTTGTTGTCTGATGGGATGGGCCTCGAGAGATGAGCATAATAAATACGGTTTTATCATTGATATCTGAGGTCAAACATTCACTGTCACGTGGGAGGGTTGATATCACACAACTGTTCTGTACTGTTTTCTTTGTTTCTAACAAAATTTACTGTTTCTTAAAAGTTTGTTTAGCTTTTCTAAGGCATTTTTCGCAAAGCGCGTTCGAAAGTCCGCGTCACATATTCCGTCGTCTGTTAAAATTGGTTGTTTTAAATATTCACTCAATTCAATCCAAATTTGTCAAGCAATTTTTTTTTGTTGCTCTAATTATAATTGAATCTGTGGGGTTATCCCAACTTATCTGCCAGGAAACTTTGCTTGGCGGCGTAGCAATAAATGGTATAAAAGAGAAAAAAGTACCTGTCTATATTCTGAGATGAGGTATTATGTACATTATTCACATTATTCGGTCCTCATCTTTGTCGCTATAGACTTTGTGTACGCTATCCCGAGTGCTGTGGAAAGAAATATAAAGGGGAGACAGGCCGCCCCCTTACGGTAAGACTTCAAGAACACCAGAAAGATGTAACATGAGGGGAAGTGGAAAAATCAGACGTGGCTGACCACATGTGGAGAGAAAAGGAAGATCACCGCCGTCTCTGGGATCAGGTTGGGATCACAGAGAAAGAACATGATTAGAAAATTCGTAAACTTAAGGAATCAGCACATATACTAGGCCACAAAAATCTCCTGAGCCGACCAAGCATAGAAATGAATACAATATGGGACTTAGTAATAAGGAGTGCCAAAGAAAAGCAATAATAACAACAAAAATTGCAATATGAGCTCTGGTAAAAAACATGCAATGATAACAGTAAAAATTGCAATATGAGCACTGGTAAAAATGGTTGCTGAAGACATTAGGTTTATAATACCCAGAAATTCATACACAGATGTCTTCAAGGACACATGGCAAAATGGAAAAAGGCGTTAGTTAGAGCCAGTGGCATAACCCAAAGAGTGTGAGTTCAATACCTAGTTATGGCGGTGGAGAACTTGAAGAGGGGAATTAACAGGAGGTAAGTGGTAACTGACATCCATTAAACATGGGACGTGGAACTAGAACAGTCTACCCCATTGAACGAAATAAAGGGTTCAGTTCGACATTCTAACAACCTGAAGAAGGCCGAAGTGTACAACGGCCGAAACGTCGTAATAAATATGGCCACAAAGATGAGGACAATGGGGTCTAATGGATGTCAGTTGCCAGTTATCTCCTGTTAATTCCCCTCTCCAAGTTCTCCACTACCTTAACCAGTTATTGAACTCACACTCTTTGAATCCTGTCACTAGATTTAACCAACGCCTTTATCCACTGTGCTATGTGTCCTCAAGGATCCAGTGATAGGAACCAAAGAGTGTAAGTTCAATACCCGGTTAAGGCAGTGGAGAACTTGGAGAGGGGAATTAACAGGAGATAATTGATATCCGTTAAACATGGCACGTGGAACTAGAAGAGTCTACCCCAGTAAGCGAAATAAAGGGTTCAGTTCGACATTCAAACCACCTGAAGAAGGTCGAAGCGTACAACGGCCGAATAAAGTAAATAGAGAAAAAATAAATATAAAACCTATACCCCTCTTTTGCTCTCTCAAGATACGGTAAAGGCGGGAGAAACAGTTCAACGTGTGGTCACTTTCATTTCAACGCAAACGCGTCACACACACATACACACAATGCAGCTATTTCTATTTTTCTAAGCTTCGCCTATCTCTGTATATACATATAATTTTTTTTTCTTGAATTATGTTTTTCTTTTCGCGGACACTTATTAAGAACATTAGATATGCAGATGATCCAGTGTTGATAGCAGATACGGAAAGCAAACTACAGGGACTTCTTATATAATGTAGTAAAGGAAAGCGAGAAGAAAGGACTAAACATCAATTGTAAGAAAACTGAATGTATAGTTGTCAGCAAAAGGGAACAGTCCAGCATGCGAATAACAAATTTGAAATAGCAAAATCAAAGAAGTACAAAAATTTAAAAATCTAGAAAGTATTTTAACAGAGGACGGAAAATGCAATACGAAAATCCGAAGGTGCATTGGGATAGTGTTGTAACCTAGAAAGGGTTACTTAATAAGGAATAACCAAAACAGAGATTGGAAATGAAATGGTAACCTTTATAACATCAACAAAATACAATACACGCCAGCGGCGTGAAGTAGGTAAACCACTGCTATTGGGGGGGGGGGCTACTTAGCACATTATTCCAACTTACAATAGTATCCAACATATTTATGAAGATTGAGACATACTCATTAGTGTTTATAGGTACGATGTATAACAGAGCGAAAATGCCTTCCAAAAGCTAAGAAATTTATTAAGAAGAAGAAAAATTTCGTTTGAAACCAAGAAAAGAATACTGAACTGTTATATAATATCGGATCTCCTATGTGGCAGTGAGTGCTGGACAATTTCCTTACAGTTGAAGAGGAGACTTTAAGCAAAAAAAGAGTGTTGAACTTCTATGTAATATCAATCCTCTTATATGGCAATGGATGCTGGACAATCTCCTCACAACTGAAGAGGAAACTAGAAGCAAGAGAAATGTACTTCTACAGATGGATGCAGAGCATCTCACGGACTGAACATATGAGCAAAGACCATGTTTTATAGAAAATGGAAACAAAAAGGACACTTATACTTAATATCAGAAAGGGACAGTTAAATTTATAGATCACATAGTGAGGAAAGAGGGCTTGGAAAATTTGATAGTCACAGGAGTCAAGAGAAGTCAAGAGAGACAGAAGAAAGCGGCTAATAACATACCTAATGAGCTTGTGTAAATGGTTGGCAGAACAAGGTTTAGAAGAGATAGCAAAAAAAATAAAATTACTAAGGGATAAAAAAGGATAGGGAATTGTGGAGTGCCATGATCGCCCACATTGTGGAGGGATACAACAGATAGATTGATTTGGTTGGTATGCTTTGGTTTACGGCATATCAACCTCAATTGACAAGATTTTTATTGCTGGTAATATCTTTTTCTAAAAAATATTTCTGGTAATATTTTTCCCAAAATTATATTGTTGGCAATATTTCTTCAAAAATGTATTGCTGGTAATATTTTTTCCTCAAAAATAATAATAATGCTGGTAATATTTTTTTTTCAAAACGTATTACTGGTAATAATATATTGCTGGTAATATTTTTTTCTTCAAAAATTCATTGCTAGTAATAATTTTTTTACAAAGATTTATTGCTGGTACTAAAATCTATTTTTACACTTTCATAGTGTTTTGACACCAGTTTCGGGTTAACTATTTGCCCATAGCTGGGACCCTAATAGGTGCTGCCACCCCCGGTCTGGGTGGACCTGGGAACATCAGCAAATAAGAGGTTATTCCCCGCTCCTCAAAACTTCCTTGCGTTGGATGCAGTTTATCGTCTTACCCTTAACGCCTCATTTGGGGCCGGGAGTGATTCCTACTCCTCTGCAGAGGTGCAATCGGGGTATTCTGAAACATCAGTCGACAGGGCTGACAAAAAATAGAAGATTTTTAGAATATATATGTAGAAATTTCTAGCTGTTGAATTTATATCATAAATGGTACCAGCATCCATTCCATATCAATCTTGGCATTGGAATGATTGTGTCATTTTATGTACAGTATCTTCTCTTTTAATAACTTTTTAGGTCACATTCTACACCTTACAAATAAGTTATATCTTATTAACACTTGTATTAAAATATATGTATAAAATCATTGGATTCAATGTGATGAAAATTATTACTTCATATATTTATGTATGGTTTTATCGATCTTGTAATTTAAGTCCAAGATAATCAATGTTTTCTCCAGTTGATGCATTTATAGAGTCTCAGTTGACTAGCAGTTGGAAGGCATTCTTTGAGCTTACACATACGGAGACGTGAAGACGATTAATTATACATATTTATATTCAATTTCCATAAGTGGACGATTCCGACGGAGAGTAAAAATATCGATAAGCAAGGCAGATGCAACTGGTAAAACAAATAGAAAGAGAAACAAACGTCTTCATTGAAAAGTGGAGCTGACATAAATGCTTCAGGTTTATCGATTTCTTCTTTGAATTTTACTTTGCTTTATTGCTTTCTTTCCTTTTATTTTCTTCACGCCATTTTCGCCTCGTATTTATTTTATCTATTTTTTTTCATTTCTATTTATAACCCCCCCAACCCTAACCCCTTTTCCTTGCCTCGCCCACTCTTCCTAATTTGTTTTCTTTCTCTATGTTTTTTAATTCAGTATTGACAATTCGTGTTGTAGTTTCCTATTGCCATTCTCTCGCATTCACCGTTCATCGCTAAAAATGCTGATAAAAGGGCCGGTTCTTTATACGGCTCTAAAAAGTACCTAACTCCTTCGACAATACATTATTTACATTATTCAGACTATTGTCCTCATCTTTGTCGCCATATTTATTACAACGTTTCGGCCGTTGTACGCTCCGGCCTTCTTCAGGTGGTTGAAATGACGAACTGAACCCTTTATTTCACTCACTGGGGTAGACTGTTCTAGTTCCACGTGCCATGTTTGATGGATGTCAGTTATCAGTTATCTCCTGCTAATTTCCCTCTGAAAGTTCTCCACTGCCTTAACCGGGTATTGAACTCACACTCTTTGGGTCCTGTCACTGGATCTAACAAACGCCTTTATCCACTGTGCCATGTGTCCTCAAGGACAAACGTTATAATAAATATGGCGACAAAGATGAGGACAATAGTCCAAATAATGTAAATAATGTACATAATACCTCATCTCAGAAATAAGACAGATTCTTCTACAATGTTCTATCTCTATGGGCTTACGCATTGAAACACCTGTTCCCATATTATCTCTGAAGTTAAGCAACGTCGAGCGTGGTCAGTGCCTAGATGGATGACCGTTTGGGAATACCAATTGCTGTAAGCTTGGATTTGCGGGTGATGTGGAGTTCCAATTCCAGTTGGGTTCGTTATATTCACTTGGGAAAATTACGAATCCACTTCTCCCCCCAGCTGTGGGTTAATTAGTAAAACTTGTATCACTAAAAGCATTATTATCTAAAAAAAAGTGCGTACTAAATATTTAGATTTAGGTACTAAATAAACCATAGAAGCTGATATACCGCTAAAACAAAAACAAACAAAAACAACTAATCAACTATATCTACAAAAGTCAGATAAGATCAAAAATGAGGTAGAGCTGCAATATCTGGGTTGGAGCTGCCTAATCTTCATTTTCCAACCTTGGCAAAGTTCTAAAGCACTTACGCAGCTCTGTGGTCGATTAATTATTTTCATCCTGTCAGCCCTTCCCCACAAATGAAGTCACAAGCCTATCGCCATTTCATCATTATTTTATGTCAGCTATTTAGACGACTCGTAATCCTTCGTTCCACCAATTCAGACCTTTACAGCTAATAGCTACTACGCCACGTACACAGTGTTAAATCATCCTCACTCCCCTCGTATTTCATTGGTAAGGAGGAAGTTCCAATCCAATAGAGGATATATATATATATATATATATATATATATATATATATATATATATATTTATATATATATATATATATATATGTGTGTGTGTGCGTGATGAGTGCAATTTATTTTCAGATAGAGTGTATCTGTAAAGGAACGCAATGAATGAAAAGATAAGAGGAAAAAATAATCTTACCCGACGCGTTTCGCCCTCTGAGGGACTTTATCAATTATTTGTCTTTATAAAGCCCCTCAAGGAAAGAAACGCCTCGACTAAGAATAGTTTTTTCGCCTGCCTTGTTAATTATATATATATATATATATATATATATATATATATATATATATATATATATATATATATGATTTAAAATATGTATTCACCGCGACACAGAAATTACCACGTTTCGAAACTAAAAACTAAAATTAAATTAAACTTAAAATTAAAGTGTTTGTTCCATTCTCAAGCGATGCTAAATAACTTTCAAAAAATGATTTACTTTTTAAAGCTAACTAGTGTTATATAGTTTAAGTTGAATTACAAAAATTTAAAAGGATGTTGACTTTTTGGACGAATCAGGATATAAGTCTTATTTAAGATTGTAAAGTGTATATATAGGTTAAGTGTTAGGTGTGGCTTTGTAATTTCTGTCTATCGATATTAGCCTCCTTATATGAGAACGTTTCATTCTGTTTGCTTTTTTAGGAGCATACACTACAATACATTGGTATTTTTATTTATTTTTTTACTTATTTTTTATTTATTGTTTATTTATTATAAAATACATTGGGATTGTCTTAAAGGGTCTTCAAATATGATTAAGTCATATTTTACATATTTATATTTTTAATTATAAAGATCTAAAATACTATATTTATCATATTTATTAGTATACTAGATACGGTATTGTTAAAATTAAGATTTAAAAATTTGGACTTTAATTACGCATTTTCTTAGTTTTTTATTTGGGATCAAATAAGAGGTAACTAATTATGATTTTTTTTAAATTAATTGTGTTTTAAAGTAAACATAATGCAGTGTCTATAAAAACAGTTATTTCTTTCCTTTGATTTAATAAATCTTTATTTTTAGAAACTTAGTAATATATAACTTTCCATGTAAGGACAAAGGACATGCGTTATTTAAAGATATGTACATTAACATTAGTTATATTTGTAGGGGTCGTTTGTAGATGTGGTCATAAGAATTAACACTGTATGGTCACTGGCAGTTACAAGTCGCAGGCTATCATCAATCTGATTATTAGTAGAGGTGAGAAACTGGCAGTTAGCATACAGTATTGATTTCTATATATTTCTCTCTTTTAATTCATATATATATATATATATATATATATGTATATATATATATATATATATATATATATATGTGTGTGTGTGTGTGTGTGTGTCTTTCGTTACACATATGCTAGAGGGATAGATAATGTCTGTTGCAGATGTCCGCTCACGCAAAATCTTTCGAACTCTACAGTCCAAATAGTGGTTTATATTTCAACTATCCTTAGCTGACCTTAGTTACACTTTCTGGGAGATAGTATATATATATATATATATATAAATATATATATATATATATATATATATATATATATATATATATATATATATAGTAAAAAAATGAAGAACAGTAAGATATGTAATCCGGTGTTCTTATTGATATTTTTATTTTACAAAACAGTGCTCAACGTAAATTTACAGAGCATAAATAACTATTTTAAAATTGTAGATCAATAGAACGTATTCTAATCCAAACACCCCTTTTAGAAAGAATCTGTTTGTATAAAAGTAGAAATTTAATGAATAAAATGCCAAAATTTTTTTTTGCCGTTGTAAAAAAACAGACGCCATGCGTTGAACGGATGTCAAAATTCGTTGAAAAAAGGCACCCCTGCCCTACCCTCCCTAAAACCTCTTTTCGAACGTAACTCATAATTGATACAATAATAGTTAATAAAAATGACTATGCTACCGTCACTGTCTAAGTGATTTGATTTCTGTATTCTTGGAAACAAAAATTATAAATGTATGTGCTTTTGAAAATTTTAAAATAAGTTATTACAAAATTCGTTTGAAGATGAAACAGAACTAGTGCTTTTAATTTAATTGAATTTGAAATTTTTGTTTTCTGTTTTTAAACATGGTAATTCCTGTGTAGCGATGAAACCATATTTTTAAATCAGTCAGTTTATAATATATATATATATATATATATATGTATATATATATATATATATTTATATGATGGACTCTCCCGTCGGTTTCGACGTATGAGGTTCCGACAACTTTGTTTATTTAACCTTGTGTGTGAGTCGCAAGTGACATTTCAGTCTCGCTATTGATTTGCAAAGAAGTCTACAGATTGTGCAAGAGTGTGGATTCTTGGAGTATATGGCTGGAACAGCAGTAGATATTTTATTCCTTTCCCTAGTTTGACGAAGCTTGACAATGTTTGATGCTGCCTTGTTCGTGATGCCATTGTAGCATGTAGTCTTCCATTCATCAATTACGATGTTCTCAAAGGTAGTGTGATTTATATTCGCAGCGAAGAGGTTACTTTTCAGCTTGTCCCTGTCCCTAAGCAAAGGCCGGCCCACGTTTCGATGACCATTGTCAAGTTGACCATACATGAGCATTTTTGGAATTCTGTTGTCTTGCATACGTAACACATGACCTGTCCAGCGTAATTGTGATTTCAGGGGAGAAAGGACTCAATACCACCAATATCACACATGGTGAAAAGGTCTGCATTTGCCATTCTGTCGCTTAGGTGTACCCCACAGATTTCTCGAAGACAGCCTGTGTGAAAAATATCTAATTGCTGAATTTGCTTTCTGTATAGTGTCCATGACTCTGAGCCATATAAAACGGTTGTGAGAACTACAGCGTTGTACACCTGTATTTGGGTTTCAAGCCTATATATATATATATATATATATATATATATTCAAACAAAAGTTTGACACCACAGTACTTATATTTAGATTATAGGGAGGGTCTTTTTTGACCAAAACATCGTTTGAAGAATACGTTGTTAAACATTAGATTGGCAGAATAACAATTCGCACTGCGAGAAAAGAAAAAATTAAAGATGAGAAAAAAAAATCATGACTAAAATACAAATTTATTAGTGAAAACTTTTTAATAAAACCGTGGGCGATAAAAAAATATACTGGCAAAAGTGTCAATGTAAAGAGTTCCAAGTTCGTACAAAATGGAAAAAAAAATGAACTCACTTACTTCCTAAAAGACCGAGAGAACGAACAAAATTGTCTTTCTGTCTGCACAGAGAGACGGTTGAGTGTAATTTAATAAAAACCGCTTCTGATATGCGTAAATAATTAGCGGACCGAGCTCTGCAGAAGACAGTAAACGAATCGACATTGTATCTTGACGCGCTCGCACGCACACACGCACACATACACACACACACACACATACATATGTATATATATACATATATATAATTATTTATTCGAAAATTATAGTATAAATATGTTATAAAATCACTACAAAATAGCCATTTTGTTTCAACACTTCTGGTATCTTATCAAGTGATGGTGTTGAAAGGTGTTTTTATGTTATAATTTTCGAATAAATAATTATATTATTTGCTCTACTCTGTATTGAGCACTCTTTTAAGAATAGTATTTTCTGGTTATTGGATATATATATCTCCCAGAAACTATATATATATATATATATATATATATATATATATATATATATATATATATATATATATATATATATATATATATATATATACACACACACAAACAAGTTTGATTAAAAAGCACAGACAAGGTCTGCTTGTTCAATCGTTTACTGTATTTTTCCAATTTCCGAATAAGGTTTTGAACATTGTGATTGAAAATGCGAACAAACATTCCGAAGTTGATATTGTTTTATTATTTTCTTTAATTAATTTCGACCATTTCGGTCATTATCAAGAAGCAATGTGGTGTCTGTGTGGTCGTTAGAATTCCTTTGTCTGTATCGTCGTACTCTTTGGAGAGCTGTAAGTTTGAAATATTAAGAAAGGATTTGTTATAAAAATCTATTTATTTTTCTTGATAAGGGCAAATTAAATTTTTTACGCCATGAAAGTCCTTTGTAACTGAGCAGTGTGAAAGCACACCGAACTTTAGTATAGTTTCCCATGTATAAGTCGAACGAAGGCTTAAATCCTGCTTAAGAGCACATCTCATTTATTAAAGACTCTCGTAAAAACAGATGACATATACACTTTTTAAGAACAGATTCCGACACAAACACATGTATTCAATTAAATATAACTTTTATAATAATAATATATACATATATATAAGTGAAGCTTAGGTGTGGCACAAGGCCGAATGCATGAACCACCTGGTGAGGAATGAACTCGCTACTCAGTCGTAATTGATCTTACCAACTATTATACCAC